TATATATATATATATATGTATATATATATATATATGTATGATTCGAGAGGGTGACCTTAAATCTTAAATGTGCTAATTTATTTGAGTAAACGCTATTGCAAGTTACGAAATCAAACATGAAAGCTTTCCTTTTCCGAATAAAGACATACGGAATATAATTCCTGACTCTCCGCAATCTGGGAAATATGATGCATAGTGAAAATATGGATGTTAATTGTATTTTTACATTTATCGTTTCAAGTGAATTGAAAAAGTAACATTATTTTATCAGAAGATAAAAATATGATTTATTTAAAATTCGATTTCTCAGGAACCGATTTCATTCACATTGTGTATATTGCCATATAAAATTACATTCTTTGAAATTATGTAAAAATTTGTCTACCTTATAATTCCAATTTTTTCTCTACTACTATTAAATAAAATAATAAATAGTTATTTTAAATTAGTTTTTGCGTGTAGAATGAATGGATTTTACTATTATTTACAAATTGTTTTTCTATTCCCTTAAGAAGTTTACGAGATATAGTGAAATAGGTAAATAATAAAATTGACATTAAGGTATTCAAACTTTCGATCTCTCTCTAACCAAATTAGAACTATATTTCCTGGATTACAACTACCCTCTGCAATTTGGGAAATCCGTCAAAAAAAGTATGCTTTTTCAGAGAAAGTGCGTAAAATATCATTTGCAGTAATTAATAAGTGCCTCTTCGAACCTTTAAGATTTAGTCCTAGTATATGAAAATTCGATCATTAGATCAAAGTCATTATTTGCACTCTGATCATTCATTAAGTTTGTGATAAGTTATAATTTATATAATTGCCATAATATTTATTTGAGTCTATTTGCATACTTATAAATATTTGTTTAAATAATTTTCATAAGATCTCTTTTCTTTTTCTTTTAACTAACCGGAATCGAACAAATTTTTTCGACCCTTACAAAAGTTTCTCTAATTCACAGCCCTGGTTTTATTTAATTCTTTGTTCAGATCTGATTTGTTCTTTTACAGAATAAATGCACTTAAAATATTTCTTATTAGTGTGTTTACCATATTGCCTCTGGATCAATTGCTGTGAGCATTTTATACATTGCTTTTGCACAGGATTGTAAGTATGAAGGATCACTGAAAGCAAAAATAAATAAAATAAAATAAAATAAAATAAAATAAAATAAAATAAAATAAAATAAAAAATTTAAATTGAACACAATAAATTTTTATCAAAAAAGGCATGTTAAATTTTAAAAAAGAAATGTAATCAACAATACAAACTTTGACGGAGGCGGCATTTCATTAAATAAATCTGCACTATAAATATGATTTGTCCCAAACTCTTCGATGTACTAAAAAGAAAAAGAACAAAACTTAAAAGAACAAATTATCTGAATTGAAAGAAGTAAGAGGTCAAAAATTGAGATACTCAGAGAAAGGTTAAGATGCTAATAAATAAAAATAGTAATTTGTAATGATTTCTCATTCGCGTTCTATTTCAGCTAATAAATACTTGTAAAATGTTCAATTATAGAAGAATTTTGGATTATAATACTCAAAACAACTGGATTTTTATTCAGACAATCATCATAATTTTAATCTATCCTTTTGAAACGCGGATTCAAGTTTTAAAGTAACATTTTATAACCAAAAGTGAGGAATAAATTACACTTGGTAACACATTCGAGATAGATTTTGATCAGTTAAAATTTAAAAATTACTTTGAAATAGAAAAAACTTCTTTTTTTTAATAATTCAGAACATCAAAAATATCCAACATTCCAGACGAGTGTCACTTCGAACCTTGTGAGTTCGTGGTGTAATCAACATACTAGGTTCAATTTCCAAAGTTACCTCACGAACCAGTAAACTTCTATGCCAAGCCTGAAGTACACAGAACTGAATTCAAAAGGATGAAATGCATATATATGATTGCAAATGTTTGTTCTTTCACTTTTCCTCGTAGTCATTAGAGAGACGGCCAATGACCTTCAAGTGCTCACTATTGCAAACATCCAGCAATTCCCGGTTAAAGTGGAACCGCTGCGGTTGGGGATCGCTGCATGGCTGCAGATGCCAGGCTTACGACTATGTACAACGGATATGCACTGCTCCTCCCAGATGCCCGAAGTGTGCTGAAGGGCACCTATCGTTTGAGAGTCGGATGTATAGAGATACACATCCCCAAGGGCTGTAATTCATACTGCTAATTTCTCTGGGTGCGAGGCCCGCCCCATCAAAAAATCTGCACGCCATCACAAAGTTTCCTCTCTGGAGTCAGCCGCCTACAGACTTGTCTCCATTGTTAGCTGCAGGACATTGTTAACTTGCAACTTCAGGAACTCTTGAAAAATGAAGAAGCGATTCTCAAATCCATCCTTCAGGGAAAGTCCCCTGAGCTGCTACTTCTACAAATGCCGGTTATCCAATTTCAAGTCTTCATTCCCAATTCACTCACAACGTCTTTTGAAGCTTCGCTCTGAATTCTACAAATTCTCACACAGATGAATGTAAAAGGCTGATGCACAGATCTCTACAATACATAAGCATAAGATGAGACCGTAATGAGACATTTAGTTGTCGTGGTGACATCACCGTGTGACGAAGATGTGACACGTTGCAACATTGTCACGGTTTAAAAGAAATGTGTCTTATGGCTTTAAATAATAAACATATCTTGAAAATTTGAACAAAATCAAAGTATCCAAACCTTTCTGACACTTAAGGCGACAACGGACTTTCAAACTTTTTTTTAGAAATCATCAAGGGATTGTTTGAAATTCTCAGTATACACTTATATTGTTAAAAACAACTTATATACAAAATTTCTTAAAAATGCTTTAAAATTTGAGAAATTAAAAAAAAATTAGAATTTTACGTTTTTAATGTTTTATTTATATTGTTCCTCGCATCTGAAGCTTTGTTAAAATGACAAAATTCTTTTAAATTATTACATATTAGGTAATATAAAAATAATTGTTGGGAGTACTTTTTTTAATTTTATTATTGAAACAAATAACAGTAAAAAAGCAGTAAAAAAACAGAATTTTTGGAAAAAAATCATCATACAGCTCTAAGATATCATGTATAAAAATAATACTATTTACTTAATTCAAAAAACTTTTCTAACAAAATGTTAATAATATTAATAAATATATAGCATCAAATTCTCAGTTCAATAGAATGAAAATTGGTTGAATCGCTGGAACAGTTTGAAATGTGTAAATTTGTCAAAAAAGTTATATTGAGAAAAATGTCTTTTACTAATTTTATAATTGCAGGGCGTCAAAGGGGCGAGGTAAAAACAGAAATGGCCATAACTTCCTCAATTTTGCTCTAATTCAAGAATTTTTTTAAAAAAATGTCCAGGTAAATGCCTAGATTTTTAAAATTATAAAAAGTGAAAAATTGATTTTTGCTTGAAGTTGTTTGCCAATTTTTGTTTATTTGAAAGTCCCTTGTCACCTTAAAAAAAACTCTTTAAATCATTTCGAGTCTTTTTTCGACAATGCAAGCATACTTCAATTTAAGACTTTTCTACTGAATCTGAAGCATTTAAAATGTGTGCATTTAAAGGGTTAGGCTAAATGTCGGCATTAAAAGCATATCTGCATTTTAAAGGGCTAGGTTCAAAAGTTTAAATAACAATATTAAAATAATATTTTACTGCTTTGAATAATCAATTGCAAATTTCCTGCATAATTCTGCCTTTTACAGGTATTCACTGAATTTTATTCTCTATCAGTACCTTAAACGTTTCGAATTGTATTTCACAATTTATGTGATTCTGATTCTCTAACTAATATTTTCAATTGCTCTGATACGACAAATATTTTCCCACAAACTAAATGTATAAAAAAAAAAGATTTTCGAGTTCTTTTCTTTTGATACAAATGTCTAAAATTCATTTAATTTCATTCCATACATTACCTTTTGTTAAAACTTAATATTCTCTTAAAAAAGAAAATAATTGAAAATAAATCAAGTAATGCTGTATAATAACAAAATCTACTAACTTTGTTCAAAAAATCTACTCCTATTTCTTCAAAAAGAGGATCTGTTGGTTCCAAGAATGTGACACTGATGAAAACAGTAAAATTAATTTATTTTATGCACATAGTTCAAAACAATTTTTTTTAACTTTGCAACATATCTGTATTTGTTCAATGGCAAATTTTTAACAGAATGCTTGGGAAAAGTATACAGGGTGTTCCATGAACGCCACCAATTATATATATTTTTAGCATCTATGTTAAAATGAAAACAAAAAGGTACTCAATTTAATATTTAAGTGGGGAAAAAACAAAAGCACTATCGAAATCTTACAAATCCCAATAAAGGAAGTGCCATCAAAACAAAAGCGTTTTTAACAATTATTAAATAACTTTAGCAAATCCACAAATTTCTATAGCGGTTTTGTTTTCTCCTCCATGTCTATAGTTTTCCTTTTTGTCAGGATTCATATAATGCATATTAAGATTAGTCTCTGTATTGAATATGATAAACCTATTTTCAGCATATTTGACGCAACATATTTAAACATATTTTTGTAATTACCAAGAATTGTAAGAATATAGTGTGATTGAATAAAATATATATATTTATATTTGATTTCAGTAATATGCTATATTATGGCATATTGAAATTTAAAAGATTAAAAGTATTTTTTATTAACTCTTCTTAACATTTTTGCCGTTACGACTATGGCAAGATATCCTAAAGATTACAAATTGATTATAGGCTTTAAAGGCAATTGAAAAAATAAAAAATAATTCCAATTTATGTCATGCACTACGCAGATATTACAAAATAAGAATATCTCAGAAACAGTTTACATTTGAACACACTTTTTAAGACAAGTATGGGAGGCAGTAAAATAATTGACCATTCATAAATTATTTATTTGGCAAAACTTTATAAAGATACTAAAAGCTTAGTCGAAACATCCATGGCATAAAAATTCAAATAAATTGAAACAAATACCCTGTCAGACCTTTTTTAATTATGAAGAAACCTTTAGTTAACAAAATAAAACTTTTGTAAAACGATTCATACGTACAAACCAAATGGTGGCTGAAAGTGACCCCAAGTTTTGTTCAAAACTGTTGTATCAGCATGTGGAAAATTTCTGTAAACAATTTAAAATATATATTTTATAAGGTACGTAACAATAATCAAATAAAGAATTATACCATACATAGCACAGTTAACATCTCTTTCGCATTACCTCACTTTGCTAACAACAAATTCACTTCTCACCAACAACTCTCTCGCTCCTCTACAGATGGCGGTATTACAATACTTCTCCTCGTTGATTCGATAAAATAAATAAATAAAAAACTGAAGATTGAAGCCAAGACTAAAGACAACTTTTACGACGTTGATTTATGGCCAAAAGGCTATATATTTTCGGAGAAAAATTTTTCGAGCAGACATGTCATTATAAACTTACGAGCATTGACTTATTTTTATAGTCTTTTGTCTAGAACAATTTCTAACTAGCACTGACAGATATCCAGCGGTCGTACAAAAATATTTAAAAATTGCTTAAAAGGTGAATAAAATGTACCTTTTGAAAGCTGGGTTTACTCGTCCACTAAATGCTGGCAGTACTGGCGTCATACCAAATGACCGCATTCTTTTCAAAATTTTATGCTGAAGACTGATTTGATTCTTGTGCCAATTTTCTGATAAAGGTCCAACCCATGCTTGCATGTTCCCCATACGATTCCTGAAATGTATTTTATAAGTGCTACTACATAAAATATTATAACTAATTTGAAAAACAAAGAACTTAAATGGTTTTTAAAGGTTAAGGGAATGCTAATGCATATATATATATGTGTGTGTGTGTGTGTATAGGTTGTGTGCGCGTGTGTGGGTAAGACCGGGTCGCTGAGATTCGAAGAACTATTGGAGTTCAACAATTCGACGTAAAAACTGTCAGAGTTATGAGATTTCATTAAGATATTCATTGTTTAGTTGTATACAATATATCATTCTTGAATATTCATAGATGCAGTATTTTTTATAAATGAGAAAAAAAGTCAAATAACTTGTGAGCTAAGACCAGGTGCACATATAAATTTCATGGGGAATTTAGAAATACTAGAATGTCAGGATCACAGATGTTCACATGACAATTTAAAGCTATTTTGCATGCAATAGATATATGATGTTTGATGTTTTCGTGGGCACAGCAAATGGGGTGGAAACTAGTAGAGATGTGCAGTGGAGGCCGTAATGATATGGTGGTTATTGAATGAAGAGGTGATTCTACATGAAGTTGAAGATGTTAAAATTCTCCATGAAAAAAGGTGATCCGCAGTAATCCGTAATGATTTCTGAAATAATAGAAATTAAGGCAGAAGAGATCTGATGATCTCAACTACCTCAGAATAGTTGAACAGTTCCTTAAGATCTGGAGTTTTCTCCTCGGATGCATCTTCCTGAATTCACATCCAGTGAAGTTGGTGGGATGTGATGGCAGCAGTTACGACAGAGGGCTGGCTCTCCTCAGTTCTCAGTGCAGCTGTAGGAGTGGTAGGGTCCGGCACGCTTCAAGCAACGTGATTGGCCGTTGCCGAACAGCTGACACAGGTAACACTGGATTTGTTGGAGGCCACACATTTTTCTACCGACGGTGGTGAGTTCGTAGGATTATCGATTCACATTATTATTTTTCAGGATGGCATGGAAAATGGGCAGATCCATATAAGTTGGTGATTCATGGATCTTGCAGGTCCTTCATTTGAACTGGATTATTTTGCTACAATTGAAACCCTTCCCTGACAAAATTTCTCCCAAAACTTCAGGTAAAAAGTCAGCTTTCAGTCCTTCGAAAATTACTTTAAAGATTTTCTTAGGTGGGGGAGAATCCTGTTTGGAATTGGTTTCAACTGCAAGGGTCTCCATCTTCGTCGGTGAAGGAGTAATCCCAGTTGTAGGAGAAGTAACAGGCTTGGAAGAGAAAGGTTATGAATCCATGTTCTCGCATGGTTCTGAGTCAGCCTTAGGAAGCCTCTTCTTCTTCCGTTTTGTAGTCGTAGATGATGTTGTTGCAGCAGGCTCAGAGTCGTAATCAGATGGAGATTTCTCCTCTTCATTTTCCGCAGGATCCGTAGGTAGTGAAGGTGTAGAAATCGAGTCAATTTTCTCAGTTGTAGTCACAGACTTTGGGGAGTCCGTAGTTTTTACAACAGTGTCCTTCCTTAGGCCAGTTTAAGATTTTTCACTCGAGCGTCTGTACCTCCCGGTTCTAATCCTCGCGTTGACATATTGTTGTCATCTACCATAGCTATTTTAGAGAGTTTGTGAAATTGATGAAGTTTGTTTCTTAAAAAAAAAAAACAAGTTTTAAAATAAAATTTTCTGTGAAGAAAATGGTTTTATACTGGCACAACAGCTAACTGTGTTTCCGTAAATTTAACAAATTTTTTTTGCTACAGAGTAAAGTACGAAAGTTGATATGTCAAGCCAAGGAAAAAGCAAAGAATTGGGTATTTTAATTTCGTGCTTAAAAATAAGAAAACGGTGCTTTAACAAAATCAAACGTTCGTTCAATTCCATTTTAAATATAGGGACTTTCTAGTTTATAGAAACGTTTCTTAAATTCGGAAAGATTTCCAAGTAAGGCAATTTATTTCAGAATCATTTACTCTTAATAAAGTTTATCATACCAAGCTAAAAACGCTGGACCAGTAAAAAATACTTCTATATCATGATCTGTGAAATTCATTCCCTTGAAAACCTAAAAATTAAACAAATTAATTTTCAATCATTGAAATAAATAAATGAAATAATCATTATTTGCGAAATAACATTAAAAGATAATTTATAAATGATCACTAATATTATTTTTACCAATGATTCATTTTAATACATCCATTCTTTTTTCCAAGAATACGAATTTTTCATTACATATGCAACAAAATTGTTTTTCCTGAGAACCAATTTATTGGACAACATGTGATACAATTTTATGGCTATAAAGATATTATTTTTAAAAAAAATTTGTATACCGTTTGCATACCTTTACAAGATGACTGTCTATGTACAGTCCTTGATACAGGAATGTAAACAAGTGAACTTGATACAAGAATTGATACAAGAACATAAGCAAGTGCAAACCGGTTTCAGCCGAGTGAAAACAATAAAGCTGTATAGTATCACCTGATAACTAAGAATTTACAAAGAATCTCATAGTGCGTCTAATGATTTTGCCAGGGGCTGTATACATAGGATTGGATTTATCTTCGTGGGGCAGAGATTAAATAAAAAAGTATGAAAAAGATAAGAAATTCAAATAATCTTTTCGACAGTTTTATTGCATATGAATATCTACTTATTTGAATCCAGTAAAATTTGTTTCCTGACCAAAAATATTTTTAAGTTACATAATTTTTTTTGTTGAAATTTTTATCGCATTCATGAGTTTCTTCTAAGCAACAAATAACTAAGTTAAACATTTATTAAAAACTCTGGAATTCAATTATACCTTTATTCAAAGTAACCTCCATTAGAACCACATGCTTGGACTATTCTTTTGGTTAGTTGATCTTATTTCAACTGTCTTGATTCCACAAATGTAATAATCTTTGTCCAAATGATTTACCGAACCGCAGAAATTTTATTTTTGAATAATCTGTTTTTACAACCAATCTTTGATAAGAATGAACACCTAGACTGACCCGTAAGTTTTATGGCTTTAAACTGGCAACTGGATTGGTTGAGCAAAACAGTAAAACTCACGAAGTAAACATCACAGGTTTTTTTTACCATAAAAGAATAAGTTTTCCCGTTAACGGTACAAAGGAAAAATGATTCTTTTACTATACAAGATCAAGTTTTCTCCGCAAAAATTAGAAAGAAAATGCGTTGCTAGAGTGCTTTTTTACCTGACCAAAACAATTTCGTTCTGTAAAAATTACAAAGTAAATTTGTAGTCTCACAAAATATCGATTTTCTTTCTTTGTAAGCACCGTGATTGGTGTGAGCATGAGCAGAATTCGTATTGACTTGTCATCGCTGGGATTCAAACCTGGGTCCCCTCTTTGGACATGGCGCACTCTGTCCCTTAAGTCACCTCGGTATTATTGTTTTATTATGAAAAGTTTTTAAAGCTGCCTTTACCTTTAAAGTTTAATATATTGAAATCATTTTTATGTGTAAAATTTTTTTGTCATTCGCAACTTCAAAAATTACATCTAAAGAAAGATAGTTGTCAGGTAGAGTCTCAGTTTCAATTTCAGTTTTATTTAAACGATGTTCAAAACCATAAAATTATTTCCGAAAATTAGTGCAACTACAGAGAATAATCGTAAAATGATTTGAGAAAAGATAAAGTTATCTTAAGGTAAGTAAAACTGTTGGGCAAAAAGTAGAATTTGCAAAAAGTAGAATAAACCGTCAAATATAATCATAAAGTCCGGAAAAAAGAGTGTTTTTTTTTACATTTTACATTAATATTATAATTAAGTATCGAGCTTTATATATTTTTGATAAAAAGTTTTAAAAAAAAGTCAGAGGTGTATTGAAATTAATACGAAGTAGTGTAATTTTAATGTTAAAAAATTATATACATATTAAAGAGCAAAAGTCTAAAGTTCTTATTTAAGATTAATGTTATAAGGCTAAAATGAACATCAGTTTTGATTATCCGACTGATGCATGTAAACAAGTTTCACTACGCGAAATTATAATTCGTTTGATTTATAAGCTTATAATTATTGAAAATATTAACTACCCAGTAAAACATTTCAGCGCTTAACACCAAAAGCAGCATGTCCTTTTATGAATCTTGTGGCCCTAGATTCAATTTAATTAATTCAATTGTGTTTAGAGGAAGCCTGGCAAAAAGTAATAACATTTAATATTTTAAATGTTGTGTAAAGTTGTAATACGTACTGAAGAAAGTGAGACAAAAAATAAGTATCTATTAAATAATAGAATTTTATGTATATATTTTGCCTGAATTATACAAAACACAGTCTATTCCCAATAATTTTTTACTTATTTTTTTACTGTTGGGCAAAGATATTTGCACGTTAGTGTATCTAGCAAGAGTGTAACGCATGGAAGTGCCATTATCAACGAGTCCAAAGTAAATTGAGCGTTGTACGGTTTGATGCTATAGGTTGGATACGAATTTGAGCTAATGTTTGACTTTACTACTTACAATATGACTCCCTACGCACACCACGCTCTCTTTATTTTATTTTATTTTATTTTATTTTATTTTATTTTATTTTATTTTATTTTATAGCCGTCCTTGAACAATCGACCTAATTTTGAGTTTACGACTACAAATGTTTTACTCATCCTTGTAATTTTGAACCCAAAAGACAAGAGGAACTCTTGGATCAAATATTGCGAGAAATTTACCTTCGTGGAGATTTTATGATGGAATTTATCTGCAATTTCGTTACATGGAGAGGAAAACCACTAAAACCTCCCATGGTTAGACTGACGACAAGGGGACACCACTAAGCCATGATCCGTCTACCACTGATGATATTTTATTTCAGCACTGTGGTCGGTGCTAGCCGGGTGCGGAATTCGTATCGTTCTGCTATCGCTGGGATTTGAACCCGAGTCACTTCATTGGGAAGCAAGTACTCTATTCCCTGAACTCCCCAAGCTAATTTTAAAGTTATTTGTTCGTTATTTGTTCTCTAATTTTTCCTTCTACTCTTGGTATGCTCAAGACAATGTAAGCCTAAAAATTCCTAGTCTTAAGTATCGAGCGAAATTAGGTTAGGTAATTTGATGTGAACAGCGCCTCATTTATGTGAAGGCAATTTAGTTACTGCTTATATAACTATACTGCGCTTGCTGTTAATTCAGCTGCCAACTTGGGTAAAACTTTTGAATTAGATTCCCTTTATTGTGGATAAATAGCTCGATGCTTTGGCCAATCAATTTTCAAAATTGTCAGAGATTTATCATGTGAACCGTATCAAGAATTTTCGAATAGTAGGGAAAATTAGTTATCGGGTAAATTGAAAACGTTAATAACCTTGAATGAGAGCAGAACGTACGATTATATGTAACGAAGAGTGTTACATGTAGCCAAACATTAACTCAAATTATCACCCAGCTAAATTAGGAGTCAGTAAATGGCTTCGAAAATCTCAACTCGCGAATTCACTGGTGCATTTTACTAATTACAAAAGACATCTTATTCGAAGTTTAACTTTTTTGAAATCCTTTTAAATTGCCATTTTAAATAGCACAGAAAAGATAACCTGTTAGCGAAGCAAATTTTCCCTTTCATAACCCTTTTACGGTATCTTTTCTCACGAAACCCTTGCTATAATATCTTCTGATGTGTCAAGATATAGGCAAGAGAACGTATTAAATACCGCAAAAATCATTTACATTTAGTTGAAAAAATAAGAACAATTATTTAAAATGATTACTTGATAATATATAGCTTCTTGAGCTGTAAAAGCAAGTGCTAAATTCATGCCATTCAACGCCATCCAGTCTATTTCTTTTTCCCATCTTTTCCAATCCCACCAAACAAAGGAATAACTGGAAGTGCATACATTTTGGTAATATCTATATCTGCAAAATAAGTTGTTTTAAATTTCATTATGGAACGAATAAAATTACTCCAGGCAAAACATTCATTTATATGTAAAATTATCACTGCATACAACGAAGAATAGAACTGACTGTTTTTGTAAATAGAAAAATTTCCTGTCTCTTTAGAACTTACTGATATGTACAGTTTGAAGAGTATTTTTCGTGAAAAACATGCGATTTACTTTTGCAACTAAACTTCTTTGCGTTTTTTATTTATTTTGCCCTAAACGTCTTTTATCTTTCAAGCAAAAATTATGTTCAGTTATTCTTGTTATGATATGCATTTTAACATGTTTTTCTTTTTCTTTCTTTTTTGTTTTCTGTCATTGATTTTTTAATTAATCTTTAAAACATCCTTTTGAATGCTTAAATTTCAGTTTCCAAATTGAAATTACAATTATTTTTTTAAAAAATTGCTTCAAAACAGCTTAGAAATTTAGAATTCTTGGAAATTGTCGTAGTAGTATTACAGAAATATGAAGTCTTAGTTACTTAACATGGGCTGAATAGAAATGTTTCAATTCTGGTGAAAAACAATAAAAATAAAGCTTCTAAGAATAACATTTTCATATTTTGTGAAATAATAAAAATAAAAAAAACATCATTTACTAAAGCTTTTTTGCCACAAAGTTTATTTCATTTTGCACATATCTGAAATCATGATATTTAAAACCTTTTTCAAGCATTCTAGCAATCTAGCAAATAAAAAAGCTGAGATAAGCGAATTGTTTCAGGTGCATAAATATTAGAAGGAGATGACGAATAGGATAAATGATTAATTTATCTTTAATTTCCGTTTTCGTAGGTAGGATCAGTATATGAGATAAACGACAAGTAAGATATGAGACATAGAAAAATATGTTATTAAAAATATCAATGAAACAAAAAGAAATTAATCTTGAGGAAATTATTTATTTAAACTCTGTTTAATTAACATAGGAATTAGAACTTTTGGTTATTTAAACACTTGATAAATATATAACAATATGAAAACTATATTACAAACAACTTGCGGTAAAAAAATAAATGAATAAAAAAACTACACAACGTGGGTAAAAAAAGAAGTTCAAAACACTTAAGTTTTAGCATCATATGCAGAATGATGCAAATACATGAGGATTCTCAAATGTATAAAAAGTAAATTGTGAATCAAATTTTAAAAAAGATGCATATTTGATAAAATTTTGGTCCCATCTAAACCGTTCAAATTAAAAATATAATTCTTGTGAATTATTGTAATTCTTAACTCTTTTATCATGATGATCGAGATAACTAGTCTTCCAGAAATGTGCGCTGAATACGAGATAATGTGTCCAAATCCAAAATTTCATTTACAATGTGCAGATTTTCAAATGGGACATGTCACTGTTCCATCGGCTAATTCAGGGGTTTCCAACTTACATGAGGCAGGGGGCCACAATTAAAAACACTAGTCAAATGGCGGGCAGCAACTTTATCAAAATTTTACATGGGACTCTTTTTATGTTAGAAGGAACATTAAATATTGCTGTCAGATTTTTATCAAGTTGTACAAAGCAAAAGCATTGAATTACAAATTAAAATAAGAAGTAGATTTTTAAAAATATTTAATTGCATATTAAAAAATTCTCGCTACAATAACTTTAATGTGCACCTATGTATTAAACAGTTAATGTGCAACAGACATCACATTGTGAAGATATAAAACTTTAAAAAGGATGGTATTAAAACTTACATAGTAGCACACAATATGTCCAATGAGAGAATTGAGGTTTGTCTGCTGTACTTGCATTCGAATGGAAACTTAATAAACTAAGGATTATATTTTGCTTTTAAATCTTAAGTTTTTTTAATATTAAAAAGCAAAATAACAAGCATTACAAATAATTTTGCTACGTATCATTTTGAATCTTCTCTTAAGCAGAAGCTTAGGATTTTTTTTCTTCTTTTAAATTTAATTAAGTGATAAATTAAAAATTTTTTCCAGACCTATTAGGATTTATAGCAGAGAAGAAAAAAACTTCTCAAGCATCTGAAATTAATATTTTTTTCTTTTCCGCTCATGCCCTATTCGATTCAAAGAATTTAAATAAATATGATATTCAATACCTCCTTTATGCGTTTTAAAATATACAAATGTAAATAATTTCGTCCAAAGTTGGTGGTTTCACAAAGTTAAATCGGAGAATTTCCTCGAGAAAATTTCTGATACACACATGTTAAATTATATTCACAAAATACAGAAAAAAAACGAAATAAAAAAGAGCAACATACACGATTATTTTTGTATTTGAATAAATATTTTCTTGGATTCAAAACCTGAGAAATAATTCTTTTTTCACTGTTGGTATGTTAAATTTCACGGAAACAAAGAGATTAGATCTTTTTAAATGAATTAAAAGTATTTTAAACCCATATAGATTTTTTACGAAAATTATCCGAAAAAAATGACAACTAATATATTCACGGGCCACAAAAAAGGCTTTGAGGCCGCCAGTTGGAAACCCCTGGGCTAGTTGGCTGCTAGCCCCACTAAAAATAATCTTAAGATTTTCTTAAGAAAATGTCATTTTCTTAAGAAATTCTTCAGAAATCTGAAGAATTTCTTAAGATTTAACTCTATCTCCAAAATATCTTAAGAATTTTTGCAGACATTTTACAGACATTTTGAATATCTTTAAGGTGAATTAAGTTTGTCTTCAAAAATTCTTAAGAAAATCTTAAGACACATTCCTCAGTTAGAATTACCTTAAAGCATCTTAAGATTCTTTAAAATAGCTTAAGAATTTTTTCAGACATTTTATAGACATTTTGGATATCTTTAGGAAGAATTAAGTTTGTCTTAAGAAAGTTTGAAAGTCATCCCTACCACAATGCTGTCCTTTGGGTTTCAAAGATATTTTTAGTTTTACCGACTGTAATTCTGGTGAAGTGTCTCTATTTGGACTTCGTAATGTCAAGATCATAAAGATCTTTTGTTTTTCCAACAAAATTTCCTACAAGTGTCATTATATTTTTATCATTATTTCATGTAATTTCTAAATATAATAACTTTTTAAATAATATTCTTCAATATCGTTATTCGTTTATTTATAACAAAATTTGAAGTTACGTAAGTTAATTAAAATATATATCTATACATAGTGTATTCCGCTAAGTCAGCCTTTAGTATACATCTTAACAATCTTTATCAAAACTGAAGACAAAAAAATTATACACACTGGGAATTGCAATAAATATTTGGGTAACGATAACGGATCACAATTATAGCTGACGACGAATCACAATTTAGAAAGGCACGTTTAGAGAACTAACTTTTCTTTGTTCTTCCCACAATGAATTCGAGGATCTTTCTTAATTGCATTTGTTACATTTGATAGCAACATCGTTTTTCCTCTCCCTTAAATATTAATTTTAAATCGATCCCCAATGTGTATAATACCTATTGATTTTCTTCTCTTCCTATATCTATGCCCCCCGATGAATGGAGGTAATAAGTGTAGACTTTACTGTGATAAAAAAAACTAAACTCAGTGGCGCGACAACCCATAGAGGGCCAAGGACTACTGTGCTCATCTCAGTTTTCTTGACCTTGGGCTCTGGGGTGCAAGAGCAGAAGTCCCGGTTAGGTGGTCAGCCGAACGCAGAACCCCCAGTGTTTAGTTCCCAAGCATGCTTGGTACTCATTTATCGATCCACTGATGGGATGAAAGGCTGAGTCAACCTTGCCAGGCCCGAGGATCGAACCCAGGACCTGTGGGACGGGAGCGCGAAGCGCTACCACTCAGCCACCGGCGTCCTTTACTGTGTTAAGCCACCGGCCACCACTCAGCCACCGGCGTCCTTTACATAAATAAAGGATTAGGTCTATCTATGCATGCAGGCTCTTATTTATAAACAGTCACCCTATGAGAGAAGGAATACCAAATAAGTGGTTATTTACCTTGCGCACATCCATTTTCAGGTCCATTCATGGTTACTAACAAATCAAACACACTTCAGTACTGCAGTGAGGACGCACTATAAAACAAATCCCTCTATTTACGCTTTTACCTCAAATTGCTTCTGTTTTCATATTCTGTAATCTGGCAATCTAGTTACGAAAATATTTTAAATTATTCTTGAAAAATTTCCCGTTCATTTGAATTCGCTACTCGCTTTATAGATTTCGCTTTATGTTTTATTCTGTTTTTTCTTTAGATTTTATTTCCCGTTTTTAAGTGATATTTTTACTTAATGTGTTCTACTTTATCTGCTGCAAATTTTTTGTAAATTTTTTTGAGTGCGTTTCCCACTATTATATTAATATGTTTTGCTTTGGCTAGATTGATACAATATTAGAAAACACTCCTTTTTACGGATATAATCGTGTGAGCTGATGAAAAGATTATATCTCGTATTTTCCGGATTTCATAATTTTTTCCCCTTTTTTTCTGTTTTTTACCATATCTTTATAATTTTTATTATTTTCATTTTTCCTTTTTCCCTTTTTTTTTATTGTTCTGCAACTTTTTCCCATGTTTTCTCTACATTTTGAACTTATTTTATGAGTTTTATTTACTTGCAGCTTATGCGCGAGTGTATATATATATACTTCAGAAATCTGAAGAATTTCTTAAGATTTAACTCTATCTCCAAAATATCTTAAGAATTTTTGCAGACATTTTACAGACATTTTGAATATCTTTAAGGTGAATNAAGCAAATTTTCCCTTTCATAACCCTTTTACGGTATCTTTTTTCACGAAACCCTTGCTATAATATCTTCTGATGTGTCAAGATATAGGCAAGAGAACGTATTAAATACCGCAAAAATCATTTACATTTAGTTGAAAAAATAAGAACAATTATTTAAAATGATTACTTGATAATATATAGCTTCTTGAGCTGTAAAAGCAAGTGCTAAATTCATGCCATTCAACGCCATCCAGTCTATTTCTTTTTCCCATCTTTTCCAATCCCACCAAACAAAGGAATAACTGGAAGTGCATACATTTTGGTAATATCTATATCTGCAAAATAAGTTGTTTTAAATTTCATTATGGAACGAATAAAATTACTCCAGGCAAAACATTCATTTATATGTAAAATTATCACTGCATACAACGAAGAATAAAACTGACTGTTTTTGTAAATAGAAAAATTTCCTGTCTGTTTAGAACTTACTGATATGTACAGTTTGAAGAGTATTTTTCGTGAAAAACATGCGATTTACTTTTGCAACTAAACTTCTTTGCGTTTTTTATTTATTTTGCACAAAACGTCTTTTTTCTTTCAAGCGAAAATTATGTTCAGTTATTCTTGTTATGATATGCATTTTAACATGTTTTTCTTTTTTTTTTCTTTTTAGTTTTCAGTCATTGATTTTTTTAATTACTCCTTAAAAAGTCCTTCTGAATGCTTAAATTTCAGTTTCCAAATTGAAATTACAATGATTTTTTTTAAAAATTGCTTCAAAACAGCTTAGAAATTTAGAGTTCTTGGAAATTGTCGTGGTTACTTAACATGTTCTTAGCTACTTAACATGGGCTGAATGGAAATGTTCCAATTCTGTAAAAACAATAAAAATAAAACTTTTAAGAATAACATTTTCATATTTCGTAAAATAATAAAAAAAACATCATTTAATAAGGCCTCTTTGCCACAAAATTTATTTCATTTTGCACATATCTGAAATCATGATATTTAAAACCTTTTTCAAGCATTCTAGCAATCTAGCAAATAAAAAAGCTGAGATAAGCGAATTGTTTCAGGTGCATAAATATTAGAAGGAGATGACGAATAGGATAAATGATTAATTTATCTTTAATTTCCGTTTTCGTAGGTAGGATCAGTATATGAGATAAACGACAAGTAAGATATGAGACATAGAAAAATATGTTATTAAAAATATCAATGAAACAAAAAGAAATTAATCTTGAGGAAATTATTTATTTAAACTCTGTTTAATTAACATAGGAATTAGAACTTTTGGTTATTTAAATATTTGATAAATATATAACAGTATTAAAACTGTATTATAAACAACTAGCGGTAATAAATGAATGAAAAAACTTCACAACGTGGGTAAAAAAAGAAGTTATCTTTAGTTTTAACATCATATGCAGAATGATACAAATACATGAGGATTCTCAAATGTATTAAAAGTAAATTGTGAATCAAATTTTTAAAAATATGCATATTTGATAAAATTTTGGTCCCATCTAAACCGTTCAAAATAAAAATATAATTCTTGTGAATTATTGTAATCCTTAACTCTTTCATCATGGTGATCGAGATAACTAGTCTTCCAGGAATGTGCGCTGAGGACGAGATAACGTGTCCAAATCCAAAATTTCACTTACAATGTGCAGATTTTCAAATGGGACATGTCACTGTTCCATCGGCTAATTCAGGGGTTTCCAACTTACATGAGGCAGGGGACCACAATTAAAAACACTAGTCAAATGGCAGGCAGCAACTTTATCAAAATTTTATATGGGACTCTTTTTATGTTAGAAGGAACATTAAATATTGCTGTCAGATTTTTATCAAGTTGTACAAAGCAAAAGCATTGAATTACAAATTAAAATAAGAAGTATTATAAAACGAAAATTACTACATGCTTTCATACAAAACAATTTTGCCGTATGGGCTAAATGATACCTTCCAACATACACTGGTTATCTTTAATAACTCCTCAACTTATTCACTTACTCATATTAAAGATAAGCGTACAAATCGAGGTAAACGGGGATCAAGAAGTAATAGAAACTCTTTTAATAGTGACAAATTAAACATAAATTTTATTTATAATATGGAAAAAGATTTTAACAAACATAATATTAAACCAATTAAAGATTTTGTTTTCTCCCTTAAGAATAATGATGTATATAAACTTCAAGATCTTATTATTAACTTTTTCTTTATTAATTTACACATCAAAATTCTTTGTTTCGATCTTGTAAAAGCCAAATGGAGTAAAATTTCTCCAAATGAAAAGAAAAATTTAGATAATTTATATTTCGTTATTTACTTTCAAAACCCTATTTTCGATAAGATCAAATTTCATAACATTTTTGAAAATTTTCAAAAATTATTTCCATTAAAAGATTTTAACATAATTAAAAGCTTTAAATATAATAAATTTCTTGGTAGAACTATATTTAATTAAAATGATATAAGCGAAAATATAGAGAGGATTAATGTATCCGATTATTAATGTCACTGTGAAGAAGAGAAATATTTTGATTTTGTTGATAAACATCACAAGCATATTATTACTGGTAATTTAATTATTATAGAAAACTTAGAACTTAGGAATTTAATGATAAAAGGCACAAAATTTAGACCCATTTACCATATATTAATTAATAAAATTCTAAAATACTTCCAAATGATCTCAATAGTTTTTGTTTGAAGATATCGAATAGATTCTCTTTATATTTAGGTATGCAAAGAGAATGGAAATGATGTGTTTATTACTAGTTTAAAAGTTTTGTTTTCAATAATAATGATAATTTAAATAACAGTAACAATTCAACAATTTTTTTTAAAATTGTTCAATCAATTAAGCAGCTGCAAAGAAATTTTGCAATTGCCCCCATTGACAAAGATAACAATAATTATGCTATCGTGTGTAAAAATTTCTGTGATGAACTTTTAAATACAGAGTTAAGAGATAATAAAAATTTTAAACTTAGAAATTTAAATAATAATATTGTCATTAAAATTTTTTAGGTTTATATAAGAGGTTAAAAATTAAAATTAGCAATATACAATTTTCCTACTTAATTATCAGTCCTAAATTTCATGAAATTCCTTTAACGTTAAGAGCAATCACATGTGGGTCTAATACTTAACTAAACCTGGCACCATTTTCTCGTATTACTTAAATAAAATTATTAACAATATTATAAAAGAAGGATTTTCTTGGATTATCACTAATAATCAACCGAGTTTAGAATTTATTAAACATAATAAAATTAATTCTATTGCGACTTTTGATTTCCAGGATCTTTTCAATAGCATTCCCCTTTCTAAACTAAAAGATGTCCTTTTGAATTATTACTATTATTTTAAAAATATCCTTGATTGCTATTTTGATTATTGGGACATTCTAATTAATTGTTGTCTTTTTAATAATTATCTCTACAATGGAAAAGATATTTTTTTTTCAAATTGGTGGGAATACCACAAGGATCTAATTTTTCATCTGTCTTAGCTAACTTATTTTTGCATTATTATGAAGAAAAATATACTCTTAATATCAAACTTGTTTTTAGATTTATTGATGATTTAATTATCCTAAATTTTCATTATACTATTTAATTAAGTAATATTTACCCAGATGAATTAATCTTGCTTTGTAATCATGATGATAATAATAATTTCAATTTTTTGGATTTGGGTATTATACAGAACGAAAATATCCGCTTTGTTGATTCATACGATAAAAGAAATGATTTTAATTTTAATATAAATAAGCTAATTACTTGGAATTCTGATGTTTCTAAGAACATCTATTTAAATACCATTTTTAATCAAATGAATAGAATTGAAAGAATATGTAGTAATGTTTATTTATCCAAAAGACAAATAGAGAAACTCTTTCAAAATTTGATCAAAAACAATGGATACCCAACTAAAGTAATTAAATTCTATATAAGAATCATTGAGTTAATTGTTATATTATAGTAAATAAATTTACTAAAATACTTTCTTGTTATTTTACATAATTTTTACCACGTGCAAATCCATTTCGGGCAAATCCGTGGCTAAAATTATGTGCAAAACAGGCAAGTCCTGTTTCTTTCTCTTTTCTATTTTATTTTATTTTTTTTCTTATATAAAAGTTAATTTTCTAAAATTATTAATTTTGTTAAATTAATAATTGTCCACTTCTTTGAATTATCCAGTATAATATTACCTTGCGCAGATTCATTTTCGGGCCCATCCATGGTAACTAACAGATCAAACGCACTTCAGTAGTGCAGTAAGAACGCGCTATAAAACAAAACCTCTCTATTTGCGTTTTACCTCAATTTACGCTTCTGTTTTCATATTTTGTAATTTGGCAATCTTATTACGAAAATAGTTTTAAATCATTCTTGAAAAATTTTCCGTTCATGTAAGTTCATTTGAATTCACTATTCATTTTATAAATTTCGTTTCATGCTTCATTCTGTTTTTTGTTCACTTTTTATTTTCTGTTTTTACATGATATTTTTGCTTAATGTGTTCTATTTTATTTGTTGTAAATATTTTTCAGTACTCCTTACACTATTGTGTTGATATATTTTGCTTTGGCTATATTGATACAATATTAGAAAGCACTCCTTTTCGTGGATATAATCGTGTGAGCTGATGAAAAGATTATATCTTGTATTTTCCGGATTTTATAATTTTTTTCCCTTTTTTTCGGTTTTATTCCATATCTTTATTATTTTTATTATTTTCATTTTTTTTCCCTTTTTTTTATTGTTCTGCAATTTTTAATTTTTTCCATGTTTTCTCTACATTTTGAACTTATTTTATGAGTTTTATTTACTTACAGCTTATGCGCGAGTATATATATCATTGATTGACCTACCTTATCTCAAATATAAATAGAAAGAAATGCTTTTAAGTGTTTAATTCTTACTTGTCATGAAATGTAATTTTTAATGAGTCATCAAGTTTTGGCAAAACATCTGGAATATTCAGCTGATTTCCTGACCATGATATATGGCATCCGCAGTAAACCTTTAAATAGTGATACAATCCTGCAGCAGCACTGTATCCTTTATTTCCAATTATATGTACCTTGTCATTTTCAGTCCAAATCTGTAATTTTGCCAATAATAATAATAAAGAATTTGATATTGGGAAATTTAAAACTAAAAAAATAGTTTTTAAAATTGTCTATTTATGTCCAAGTTTAAGAAACTGTTAAATTTGTTCATGTTTTTTTAACCAAGCGCACACCGAAATCTAAGAGTTGACTCTTTGTCACATACGGGCAACTGATTTATGTGACTTTTACTTCAGATGTGATTTGAAAATAATACTACTTTCAAAAATAAATAAAAAAAATTAAAACTCAAGCCTGGTTCAGGAAATAATGTAAAATATGTACATCATTATAGTGTTAATTAACTGTTTCACAGCTTCGAAAATATTACTTTTAAAAATGAAGAAAAAGTATTCACTAAATTAAAAAAAAATTTAAACTTTTAAGGTTATCAGAAATAATAATAAGTTTAAATACTAGCATTAAGTTAAAAACTTATAGGTTCATTAAAACTTTTAAACACCATTGTTTTCAGCGTTTATTTTTCTACTCAATTGAAATCATTCGGTGCATCTTTCAGTTTAATTCAACAAATAAACTGAGTTTGATGATTTCAATTACGTCTTAAATGTGATTGATCTTCATTAATTTCATAGCAAAAAAATGAATAAAATATTCTAATTCGACCCAATCGGTTTCGAAACAATTAAAAATATAATCAGTTTTAATTATAAAGTTTAAAGTTTATACAACAAAAGGTGTCACAATAGCTATCAAAAAGTAAAATTAACATTAAGGGATCCAAACTTCGGTCTGTTCTCCTGACCAAACTATTGGGACCATACTTCCCTGATTACGATTACAATTTTGGAGGTCAGAAATTCAAATCCGTGGAAAAGTGACATTTTTATTTAAAAAAAAGTACCTTTCTGTGTCTGATTTTGTAACGTTAAATATCGTGTGCACTAATTAATTAGCATATATGAAGTTATCCTCTCGAATCATTAAGAGTGAGTCCTAGAACTTGAAGATCCGATCATTAGATCAAAAGTTATGTCCGTTTTTTATTTTACGGATTGTACATAATTTGTATGCATACGTACGTATTTTGTATGCAATATTGTATGTATGCATACATGGCAATACTTTTACTTTCGTTACTTGTAGCAAAGGTAAAAGTACGTACGTTTACTTTACTTTGCTACATTTTAAATATAGTACTTTTACTTGTTTTTTTGTTACTTTTTCGGAAAAAAGTACAAGTATTTGTAACGAGAATGTCGGAAGAAATCGTTACTTTTTTCCGAATTCTTTGAAAAATTTTCCTAAAAAGAAAAACTTTTTTTTGAAATAATTTTTTTATTTTTTATTTTCTAAATTTGATGTATTGTATTCCTTAACAGCCTTCCTTGATGTATTCCTTAACAGCTAACTTCTTCTTCCAAATACGCTTACGGATGGGAATTTTCTGAAATCTCGAAACTCAGTTTTCAGGACTTAAGCTGGAGGAGTGTTCATGGGTTTTGAAGAGGATGGGTAGAAAGACTCCACAAGCTGATCTTTTTCGGCGGACTTTCTGGACTTGCTTCGCAACCTGGAGTAGTATCATTTTGCTTGGGTTCTTCAGATGACTCAACCGTTGACTGTCTCTTTCAGCTTTTCCATTCAACAATTTTAAAGTATGCTGATGATGGTCATGAATTTTTTCCTTCCTTCCTTGGTCACACTTCGAAAACATCCTAATCGCTTTCATCAGACGCAACTTCAGAAAGCAATTTTTGCTACTTTCAGGAACTTTCGGCAATTAGGCTTAGCGGTGATGCTAAGCAAGTGAGCCTTGATAAGTTAGAGAATCTTTACGAGATCCAATGAAAGAATAAAACAAAAATGATGACCAAATAATTGGGACTATATTTTCTAGGTTCCACTCTCGCGTATTTTGAGGGTCCATCGAAATAAAGATATGTTTATTCAGTGACTGTACGCTTTTTTATCTAATTTCGAAATTTACAATATCGTCTGCACTAATTAATTAGTATATATCCGGTTAGACCCTCGAACCATTCAGAATACGTCTTGATACGTGATCATTAGATCAAAAGTTATTCCGGTTGTTCATTATTTTGCGCACTGTATACGACACTGAAGTTTAATGTATTGCCTCAATTTTTGTCCCTTTCCGGTAATATAATTAATACATTTTCATTCTCATTAGAAGTTTAGGTGTTTTTTATTTTTTTAGGGTTTCAAAATGTAAGTTCATCTTTGTATAAACCGAGAGTGCGCTCTTTTTTTAAAAATTTATTCATATTCAAAACCCATATATGAGTTAACGTAAAATTTTAGAACTGCTCATTCATCTTAGTTTGTTCAGAAATAATTTAAATTCTCCTTTTTAGCCCGTATTAACCGCATCAGCAGTTCACAAATATTTGAATTCAGAAGCGTTCTAATGGTTTCCTGTTTTAAGTTAGTTGCAAAAAAAAAAATTCTTATTATTAATTTCCTACTGTGTATTTCCTTTCAAATAGTTTTCATTTTAAACTGTTGTTCTATGTATTTATATGTTTTAAGTATTACGTGCTCTTTCGTGATATAATTTAACGATCTATTACTAATACTCAACTAACGGAAAGTTTCTTTATTTTTGCGATGTTTGCATGGAATTTGCGAAGTTAATTGATTCTAATATAAGGTATAAAATAATCACGGACTAGATTTGGAAATTACTAAATAATATGTTTAAAGAATAACACTTACCATGAAAGCATCTTTATTATCAAATGAGTAGTCCACCGTTACATTAAATTCTGCTGCTCTGTCAGGAATTAATCGATATAAAAGTTCTTTGACGGCATTTGATTCGGTATCAGACGTTCCATTCCAATGCGAAGAAGGTCGAGCTAAAAGATGTTTACAAAATCACTTGAAAAATCCATTTCTTAGAAAATTTCCATTATTTATAAAAAGGTGAACCCGAGAATCTATTGCAACAAAAAGCACTTCATTGTGCGCACAAATTTTGGATCTTAATAATAATTTCTTTCTTCTTCAGATTAGTACATTTCCTGAAGTATACTTTTCTTATCAATTTTAATGAAATTTGAAATCCTGTTAATTGCTTTTTTACAAATTGCTGTGGATAACTTAATAAACAATTGTTAATTCTGTTTTAAATTGATGTTAAATGATTCTTCAATTGTTTTCAGAATGATTTAAGATGACAAGTTAAGATGACAATTGTTTGATTTAAAATGAAAAGTTGGTGACAAAGTTGAAATTATAAATATATAGAATCGTGGTGATTTTCCAGAAGCTTTTCGATCCCTATACTTTGTAAATGACGATCGTTTCCATAAATGCCCGATTGAGGAATATATTGGGTGACCGATAAATGTTGCATTAAACTTCTAGGGGACATCATTAAGGATTAAAAATTGCACGAGATCCCATCTCTGAAAACACCATCGTAAGCTGCTAGGAGTGCTTTCCCTATTACGTACTGTTTCTGCGTGTGAAATTAAACAGGTACTTTTATTTTTAAAAATTATCTTCATTTATGTTTCCTAATAATTCTTGTCGAAAATTGTTTCAAATCAGCTCAAAAATAGCTGTTTTACCGTAATTTAATAAATTTGCGACTATCTTGACAAGCTCACCTATTTGAATGCAACTTTTGAGAATAATTATTAGAAAACATAAAATGAAGATGATTTTTAAAAATAATCCTGCATGTTTAAAGACGCACGGAGAAACAATTCAAAATAGGTGAGAGCCCCAGCAGTGTATGACAGTAGCATACGCAACGGGAAGGTTTTTCGGTTCAATCATCTCTTAAGAACGCATTTTTTTTTTTTTTATAAATAATTTGGAAGATAAAATCCACTATTTTTTTGAAAAAAAATCTTAGTTTTATTTACCTAAAAATTAAAAAAACAAAAGATTAAAAAAATTATGGAAAGCTTAAAAAAAAACTGAGAGAAAAACTGTCTACAATAATAATTGATATTCTTTACCCTTCTATCAAAAGAGCAATAAACGCTCTTTACAAATAAGTATTAATTCTAAAAGTATCCCCCTTAGAACCGCCCATTTTACATTATGAGAAAATGTCATTTTCTTTTTAAATTACCTGTCTCTGTTTTGTCCTTCCATCTACAGCTTTTTAAAATATCTCATTTTGATTGTATCTTTTCTTAGTCTAAATTTAAGTCATAAATTACCCCTAAAGAATTTCCTGGACTTCAAATACATTAAACTTTTAGGGACATAAATAGGGGGACTCTTTTTTTTCCGGTTATTTTACCTAAAGACTTTTTTTGGGACTCATAAGGTGTTCTCGCAATTCATTTCAATTACTTTTTTGCTTATTTATTTTAATTAACCATTCAAAAGTTTAATTCAGTATAATAGCTCTTTTTTGTCAGATTTTATCCTAATTAATATCAATCGCTTTAATTGAAATTACTTTATTATCCTTCTTACTTCACATTTAAATGTAATACACATTTAAAAAAAGAATTATTTTTTACTTTTTTAACATATTTTATTGCTTGCCCGTTTCACCAAATAAATTGCGCTTGATTTTTAAAATCGAAATTGAAATAATTTTAATCAATTGAAGGTAAGCCAAGATTTGTATTGAAACAATCATGTAATAGGTTTGAATTGCAGCATTATTTATTCATGATCATTTATTTAGCAACTAAGCGTTGATTTTTCATACATGCTTTTATTTCTCAATCGTAAATCTTTTTTCTTATTTTATGCTTTTAGAGCTAATGAAGCTGTTAAATTTCTAAAATATTGCAAACTGAATTTTTGAAACTATTTATAAAGATCAAACATCATTGTTTTACATCAAAAATAAATTTTCTATAATTCATATTCAATTTAACAAATGATTATTAAGAAAAGTTTGTTATCAATTATATGGAAATATATCATCATTTAAATTACTTTATTAATATATTTTTAAATTTAATTATTTTTGTGAATGAAAAATTAAGCTCTTTGAAATAAAAAAATACTTGTTTAGCCCAAAACATATGATAACCGGTCAAATGACTATTTAAGAACTTTGCATCGAAATTGCGCTTATCATCTTATCGTTTTTGCACATTTGATTTCATGACTTTTTCTAACAATTATATACAGTTAAAATTCTATTATTGTTTTTTTTGTATTTTGTTTATTTCGAGTAATAATTGTCGTATACCTCTATCTACCACAACTGGTCATTTGACCAGGAAAACAATTTATTGCTTTATAAAGTTATCGGATCAGAAATTACGATGTAATGCGTGTTCAACGTATTTGGATCAACGCACATTTTTGCGAGGACTGTTGTGTAGCTAGTTCAATCAGAATAACTGTGAATTCAAATTTCAAGAAAGTACCTAAAATTTTATATTGGCATTTTTGTGTAAGAAAAAGTGACAAAAACTAAATGTTTTGGTAAGTAGCTTATATTTTATTTTGATAGCTTTACTCGATTTCTAACAAACTGTTAGTAACCAGCAAAACGTCGAAACAATCAAGACAGCATAAGTTTTTAGAAGAAATAATATTAATTATCAGAATAATTATAAGAATTTTAATTCTTATAATTCTTATAGTTATAATAATTCTGTAAATAATAATAATTAGAAGAAATATGTTTGTGGAAAATGAACAATGGAAGCACCCTGTATATATAAAAAGTGCGTTGAGTAAGGAATTAAAAATTCTTATTCCTTGTGTTTGTAATTCATAAAACCTGGCAATATATAATTTGTTTAATTAGTTTATTTCCTTCCTAACGTCTATATTTCATACATTCAATGGAGAAACATAAAGTCCGGTCAATTGACCGGTTATGGCAGAAATAGGTGTGCATTAAGTGTTGGTATGTTAAAAGATAATTCTGTCAAGAGATATTTAAATATTACATGTTTTTTTAGAATTAATATAATTTTTTTTTGTGTAAGTAAGATTTTGCATTTTAAATTTGATATCTTCATTGCACAAATATTGGATATACTGCAGTCTTAAATAATACTTTCTTTGAAACAGTCACATCACTTTGTTTATATATATACTTTTTGAGAGCTAAAATATAAAAAAAAATAAAAGTGAATAAATTTATCGTCCCTGAAAAAACAATGATTTCTAATAATATAAAATGCTTTACTATCAGTAAATAGAAATACTGTGTTTAAGAATACAAAATTGTTATAATCTTACCGCTCTCCGTAAAATGTGTTATTCCTCCAATCTTTAAAATTTGAAACTCTAATAAGACCTGAAATAATCATAAAATACAGTCTACAATTTTTGTTGATGACTTACAGCAACACTAGAAGCCGTTATTATTTTTAGAAGTCATACTTTCGTTGGCAAGATTGATTCGTGTTTTGTCACCATGGTTATTTAGAATTAAAATTGCATAGAAATTAATTCGAGCAGGTGTTTGAAAAATAATGCTAATAATATGAATTCACATTTTTTTGTTGCTTTTTAAACAATTTTTTACGAAGATTATTTTTATATTGCAAAATATTCTTCAAAAAAAGCAATAAAAAATTATTATAACTTAAATTAAAATGTAGATTGTGTAAAATAATGTATTCGCATTGAAAATTCTAAAAACATTTATTTATGCTTAATTTTATAAAAATGTTATAAGTGGGTAACCAGATATTATTTTTACGGACTCTTTTAGAGGAAAAATTATTTCACGAAAGGTTTTACTGAGAATTCTAAGGGTCCTTCTTTCCTCAATGGCACGACAGCCTTGGGTGGACCCTGGCCTTCTCAATCAACTTCCTCCAGGCCGGCTTCCACCTGGCAGTTGTCTTCCAGTTTGAGACTTTTAAGACTGAAAGTCTCTTTCCACGCAGTCGGCCCATCTCAGCTTTGGTCGACCTCTGGGCCTTGATCCGATGGGCTGAGCCAAAAAGATTATGTTTGTCGAACGCTCTCTGTTCATTCGAATGATGTGACCAGCCCATTTAATTCTTTGGATTTTTACGTACTTGACAACATCAGGCTCTCTAAAAGCCCGATAGAGTTCTGAGTTTGAGAATTCTTAGGGTAAATCGAACTTTTTAATTATTTTATTTTACGGAAAGTCATATTTTGTTTCACATCTGTGCCAAAAAATTATAAGTTAACTATTTTTTGTTCATGTTTTGTTGAAACTGAAAAGATGATTCTAAATTTTAAGAGCATGAAAAATTATACAGTTCATATCTTGTTCAAATAAGTTTATTTTTATTTAGACGCAAAATTATGTTTAAAAAATGCTTCTAAATGTAACTTGCTATAAGAGTTACACAGGAAATAATAAAGCTTTTCTTGCATGAATATATCAACAAAATTGTCTAGCCTAAGAACAAAACTTACTTCTTTGATTCCATAATAGCTGTAATGTTTTTAAATATACATATACTATTTATGTATTTTAATTTATAAATACATGTTAATTAATATATATATATATATATATATACTTATATATATATATATTAATTATTTATATATTATATATATATTACTATTTATCCCACTTTCCCTGAAGTTAGAAAGCTAAAGGTCTTCCTAATTAGTGGCTTTTTT